CATAAGCCAAGCATTCATCTCAACTTTCATTACTCTTCGATAGTCCTCCGTGCTTGGAGGCTTTGCGCGCTGTTCAGAAAGATGCCCATTTGAAGGAGGCGTATTTTACTACACCCGTGGCCCTGTCCATTCGTAACGTACCCGCAGGACGAAACAGACAGCTTTGCCACCGGAATATCAGTGGGCTATCAAGAGACGCTCTGGTGTCGGCCCCTTGGGTTTTCGGGAGAGGCTCAACACGACGGTACTCCCTTTTCATGTGCCAAGTTTAAAGGAGGCCCGGAGGCAGATTTTGCGGGATATTTGTCCTACAGTGCGTTTGAGCTGCGTCGGTGGCTGGCAGGTTGGGCGACGGAGGGGCGGCAGTCTTGGGTTGCGGTTACCCGGGACCTCGTTGAGTTCTTTGGTGGTTTGGATCAAGCCGCGCGCCCATTTACTCTTGGACCCCATTGTCTGGCGAAGCATATGATTGAGGGTGGCAGGCAAGGGTTCAGGACAGACGCCAAGTGTGAGAAAGGACTGGATCCCAAGCTTGCAAGGTGGTTTTCCTTTCAAGTTACGCCGGCTATGGCCCCGTATCTATACAGGCAAGAAAGGTCCTGGGCGTCAACTTCGGCAGAGTTGCTGGGCACATTAGTGGCGGTGTGGTGCTTCGGGCATTTGGACCCGTGCAGGAGGCGGCAGAGGATGAAAACCACAATGTCGGCTGGAACAGACAACAAGTCGCATGAAAGCATTTTGCACACCTCCTGTCCAGAGCAGGGCTTCGTCTTAGGCTGGAGTGGCGGCCACGGGACAAGAACAGTTTGGCCGACCGTTTGTCGAATCAAATGTTCAATGATTTTTGGCTGACAAGAGAACTGAATTCACATGGGATAAGGTGCCGCTGGATCTCTTCACTAAGCTAGAGGCTGGCCGAGTGCCGTTCACGGAAGCATGCGAGCGAGAACGCCAGCAGGGTCGGATGCAGGGGTTGGTCGGGGCAAGCCAGAGCAAAAGAAGAAAGAAGGAAGACAAAACGCGGGCAGCTCTAAAGGGGCGGGCAATTTGCTGCCCCACCCCGCCATGCAGGAGCAGGAAATGAGCTTGGCTCGCAGAAGGCTTGTCCCTTTGACCACCAACCCGTCCGATCCGTTGCACGACAAAAAGGCCGTGCTTGGTTCAAGTGACAGCTTGTGGCGCTCATGCATGGTCAGTCACTTGTTGACCGTTTTGCCAAACACACCAGCGTGCACAGCAGCAAACCCAGTCTCCTCCTTTGGCTCAGAACTGTTGTTTTGTTGTCGATCTGGCCACCTTACGGGCCGGTTTGGCCCGTTTGTTGGGGCATGGCCGAAAGTGCAGAAATAAATAAGCGGTCAAACTGTGCCATGTCTGTGCCTGATGCATCCGGGCTCGAGATTGTTCCCTGTTCTCCGGAATTTCGGTGGAGATTCCGCACGCGCAAGAGGGTGGGCTGGCTTGATCAGGTTTATTTGCATCGTGTTCTTCCGCCGCTGCGCGGGCCACCGAACCAGACCCTGAACGAGACTGCGCAGACCCGGGCTTGGATTTCTGGTTCCTGGGTGTCGCAGGCTTGTCAATCTAATGCGGAGCCGCTGTGTTGTTGCCCGCGGCCACCAGTGTTGGCCGCTCCTCGCGACGCCTTGCGACGCTCCATTATCCGGAGGCGTTCGAGGAGCCACCTGTCCCGGGCTACAGCTGCTGCGTGGCTCTCGGCAGCGGCGGAGCCTTTTTTTTGCGCTTGCTTGTGCGCTGGGCGTGCTACAGTTTGCCTCGCGCCCGCAAGTGAGGCCGAACAATGGAATCTTTGTGCGTGTAGAACATGTTTGGCCTGCCTGCAGCTTTTTTTGGCCGAGCTATGGGCGCATGGACCGTCAAACTATTCAAATTCCACCCGGGAAGAATGAGGCAGATTCTATGCCTTGCTTTGAGCAACCTAATTAGTTTTGATGTGCTGGCGCAGCCTCCGAACATGAACATAAATGACAACTTGAGAGGCAGGGGGCCAAGTAGGAAAGTAGGAATGGCCGATAGTAGCGATGAAGATGACTGGTGTCCTCGGACACAAGTGGGCCTGCAGGACTCGTGGGGTGGGATGGCTGCATTGATGTGAATCTTCTTGTGGGCATCAGTGAAGGCCAGCGCTCGGAGTTTTTTCTCGGGATTCCGCTGGCCTGGGAGATGGGGTCCCGTGCGTAGATACATATCTGCCGTGGCCGCAAGCCAGGAAATTTCCAACCGCTTGTCTATTTTGGTTGCCTTCCACCCGTCTTGCTTGCGTGTTGAAGGACTTGCTCAACGAGTCCTCGCGCAGCAAGGTGCCATTGATCAGCCAGGTGGAAGGGGCCTCGAATCAGGCCGAACCCGGGATGGTGAGGTTGAGTTTGGTGGGTGGAGCAGCTCGTTTCGGGTGTTTGCAGCTGGGAGTTGCGTTGGGGCGGGTAGAGCTTGTTGGAGCTTTAGAGTTGCGTTTTAGGTGTTGGTTTAGGGTGGTTTAGAGTACATTTCAGGCCAGCATAAGGTTGATTTAGGGGTTGATTTTGGACGAGTTTGGGTTTTGGTTGAGGGAAGGGCCGGATCAGAAGACAAGCGGACAAGGCAACTAACAAACGGAAAGACCAGAAGACAAGACGAGACCGCACATATCGTTTTTGCTTGATCCGGATAACTTGTTGTCCCGAAAGCTGGCCTCAAAGAGGCTTTTCGTGTGTGGGCGCAACAGAGGGCCTGACGGTCGTGCTGAACGTTGAAAAGCAAGGGCCTGTTTGAGCAGAATCGGCCAGTCAATGCTGGGTTGGCCGACTCGCACCCGCAACCTCAATCCACTTATCGCCGTCAGCGACAACGGGGGCGCAGCCTTTCCTCGTGTTCCAGGTTTCAATGCACCATACTCTTTGTGACCACGACGCGCAATGATGAGCGTCAGCGTTATTTCAGACTTACCAGATTTGGCCTTTGTCTATCGCCAATGTTTTCGTGTAGCATCTCTTCATACCACTCTATGCTCATGAATGTGCACTCAGAAGCTTCGACCATCGGTACCTGCAGAATGTCATTGGCGTTGCCGCAAGTGGACCGGATGGCGATGAAACCGCAACCTCTACATGCATTTTGCGACCCGGGCAAGCGGTGGTTTTCTCATCGCTCCAGCCTCACCACGGATCAGACCGATCATAACTGGTATTGCCAAGATTGGTGAACACAAGGGTCTCAGAAGGCCCCAACACTCTAACCAGCCGCTTCTTCCTCTTCGGGACGATGACACGGACAACTTGGGTGATGCAGGACCAGCGGTACTTTCCGTAGATGCAACTCAGGTCTTCCCCACACTCACAGACAACATGACACCGTTCCGTGACCTGTTCCTCTTTGTCCTTCTTCTACTGGTGCTTCCTCCAGTACCACTGGTGAAGCCTCCTATGACTTGCCCTCACGAACCAGCACGTCACCCATCCGTTGAGGCGCAACCTCCCTTGAAAGCTGCTCTGCGCTGGCTGGAAATTGTATTCTCACCAGCTTTCTGTTTTCATGGATGTGGACGAAGTTGTGAAGCACATGACCCATCTGCAGCAAGGTGGAGACCATAGACTTCACCATGTCGAATCTGCGACACGCGCCCTCGCCATTGACATACCCACATCAACCCGTGTTTCCTCGGCCGCTTGCGCTCCTACATGTCCTTCTTCGACTTCGGTGGATGAGCCATGGATCTCGATTACCGATGATGCTGTCGCCTTTAGGCATGCCGTTGCGTTTACTCGCGCGGGCCCGCCATCTGAACACTGACTGTTGTGGCTGTGCCTGACCAACTCTTTCCTTCCGGAAAACAATGCTGACCCCGTAGTGTGTGTGTGTGTGTGCTGATTGTCAGCTCGCCCTGGTGCCAATATGAAGCAGGGGGCACAGCGCCTGATTTGCAAGCCAAGCCAGCGAAACTGCGATGCAGCGTCTTGCGTCTGTGCTTTTCGTGATTCCGAATGCCCTTTTTGCCCCCTCCCCGAATCGCCAACGCAAGTTCCAGGCAGGGTTCCACGCGAGGTTCCAAGATTCCAGCCGGACGGATGCAAGGTTCCAACGTTCTGCGTGGAACTCTGCCTGGCACCTTCGAACGCTTTTGTAGGGGAGTGCCTACCTCCCCCCCTTCCAGACACAATTCTTTGCACGCTCCATCCCCCTGACGGCACCTCGGCTACAGCTCAATTTACAGACGAATTGTTGCACCATCTTATCAGGACAAGAGCAAATAATTCTAGAAATAACTTTTGAACAGGTTTTTTCTGACCCTATGTGGACGGTAAAAGAGCGTCGTGTCATTTTGTGATGGTCTCCCTGAGACCGAACCACATCGACAATGAATATTCGATCACGTTTCAGGTGGATGTCCCGTGTGGAAGCTGAACAGACGCCCATTCGGGGCAGTCGGCAAAGCTTGCGCTGGCCCCCCCCACACACGCACATGCCAACATGCAACACGCAAAAGCAAACGCAAACACAAGCACAAACACACCTAGACTCCCGAAGGAGAAATCTAATCAGTTCGAGTGGCTCTATCGAGTGGCTCTTTCGAGTGGGTGGTTCGAATGGCGAAACGGGGGTCACACAGAACCTTGCGTTGAACTTGTTTTGGAACCTCGCCTAACCCTGGAACCCTCGAACCCTCGAACCCTGGAACCCTGGAATTCTGGAACCCTGGAACCCTGGAACCTTGAAACCCTATACAACCCGGCAGGTTCCACCCCAAAGACCTGCAATGCCTGTAAAAATGCCAATCTGCGAGGAAGTAGGTTGCGCTTTCTCCCAGGCGGCAGCGCTGGAAGCAGTGTTCGGCACTCAGCCGTCCGCCTGCTTGTGCCAAGCTGCTGCTGTCAGTCCCCACTTGAGGCGGGCCACTGACGTGCTGCACTCAAATGAGAGCAGAGCATGTGATACTTGAGGGGCATCCGAAACAAAGAATGACTTGAATGAATCTCTGGATCCACGCCAAGGGTTGGGTTCGCAGGTGCTGCTTTCGGCTCAAGTCCCAGCTGCTTACATGCATTTCGCCTTAGCACGGGGCTTTGCAGGACAGCCAAACCAGGCAAGTTTACCCAACAAATCGCGCAGAAACGCCTCCCTGCAACGTCCACTTGACGGCCGGAAGGGGCCATGATACCCGTTACAGGAGGCACGCAAATGGCCCCGCAGTGGCTCGAATTTTGTCTTTGCTCGCCAAGAGGTACAAAAATGATCCCCGGTCACATGCATTTTCAGAGGAGGAGGGGCAGACATGATTTTTGAGCTGCGAGCGCAATTTGCATCAATGTCGCACTGAGAGCATGTTGGCTGACGAGTACCCCGAAAATAATAAAACAAACGTTTTGTTTGTCGTTTGATCAGGAGTCAAATTTCTCCATTGCAAATGCACGACCCCCCACCCCCCCCCCCCCCCCGGAAAAGGGGAGCGTATGCGGATTGGGTTCCAGCAGTTGGTGCAAGGTGCGCTGGACACCAACGAGTTCGACGAGCATGTATACGATGCCCCGCAGAATGCGGAGGCTGGGCCGTGCCAGTGCAGGGTAGGGGGCCTAAACAGGGAGCGTTTTTATTTTTCCGGTGGTTCTTAGAAGGAAGGTAGAACGCATGGTTTCCTAAGCCCAAAGGCAAGCCCAAGAACGACCCAATTTTTCCCCAACTCCCCACAACCAAAATGTACAGGTTTTGCGCATAAAGAACCCCGGAGTGCTCTGAAGTGGCATGGAGTTCTTGTGAGCTAGAGTTCCAAAAAGTTTCTGAAATGCCACGTGAGCTTTTGTCTCTTTTTTTTTTTTGTGGGTCCGGAAGCAAGGAGCTCTGGAATTATGAGGACCGGTGAAAGAAAAGCTTCCCAAGCAGCTGAAGCTATGATCTCCCGAGGAAGCTTTGGAGCAACTCTCAGGTTCTAAAGGATTTGTGGAGTTTCCATGGAGCGGTTGCTGGGTAGGGTTCCTGGCAGCTTCTGGGAGGTTTCGGGGTTTCTGCCGGAAGGTCTGGGGTCTCCATGTCGCGCTTAGGCCAGAGCCGCGCAAGAGGCCAAGTGGGCAGGGGACTACGACGGGCGCCAGCACTGGTCCCTTCGCGAAGCGTGCGCTGTCTTAAGTTCTACAGGTTTGCACCGACTTGCTCCGGCCTGGCCTATGGCCGCAGGTACCTGCGGCACCGGGACCGCCTGCAAGTGGCGCAGAGGGACCTGTACCGAGACATGGCAGAACGGCTTCGCGTCTTTGAGGTCTCGGATTCCCCGTTTTTTCCCCGGAAAGGCGTAGTAAATTGAAATGAAGGCATGGTCTCATGGAATTTGGTGTAAATATCCAGCGGAATGTGAGAATGGCGCAGACTTACCTTACTACAGTTCTTCCCTCTCAACACAATCCAAAAGTAGATCAGCAACGTATGGATACCCACATGCAATCCAGACTTGGAGGTTTGCTCGCGTGTTCATGGCCAAAATAAAATAAGGACAAACTTACGTGCCGTTCGTTGTATGCATGGAAATCAATCATGGACAGCCAAATGTCGTGTTTCCCATTTTGCGACTCAGATGTCACCGGATGCAGCAAGCCGCCAGGAGTGAAGCTGCTGGTCGACGCTCACTTCTCACAGAGCCTGAAGGCCAGCAGCCGGACTCCGAATGGCATGTGCCCCTGGCAAGCGGGAAGCATGGCCCTGTTCTCCCTCTTCTCGCTTTCTGTTCGCTAAACATGGCCCAGACTCCTAGAATCTCATCAGCTGCGAGCTGTGAGGTCGAAGGGCTGAGGTCGAAGGATTGGGCGACTTGCGCAAAGAGCGCGTACCTCGCCGTCTCCGTGTCTCGCCCGTGAGGCTTTGGACGTGTCGATCCTGGAGCGCATCGCCGACTTCGGCTTCGCCCAGGGCCCGGCCGCCAGCTTCGTCGCCGCCTGGGCAGCGAAGCCCGCGGGCTCCGAGGGCCCACGGCCCACGCCGGGGACCCGGAACACCCAGCGAGTAAGGTGCTTGAAAGGGTGTTTGAAACATTTGCTACACCAGTTTTTCGAGCCTCTGCTGGCTGGCCTAACCGCAGCCCAACTCGGGTTCCAATCTCTCCAAACACACAAGCCTAACATAGTACGCAAGCTCTTGAAACCATGCAGCACCTCTTGGTTATCCAAGAAGCCTCTGGGCAAACCAGGGCCTTTTTACAGCATCGCAGCATCGCAGCATCGCAGCCCTCCGTTCGTCAGGTTCATGGCGCGGAAGCGGCCGCTGCTGGACTTCGAGACGGCGGCCGGGGACTGGGACTGCGTCTCCGTGGCCAGGCCTTTGGGCCTTTGGGCGCTTCGGCGGCTTTTGGCTAATCGTTGGTTTCATCAAATCGGACGGTTGTCTGTTGTTGGTTGGGGGGAGAGGGGAGGGGTCTGGAAACCTGAGTCTTCCTTTTCCACCGGCGCAGACTTTAGGTTTTTGGCAGCTGGCGTTCTTCGGCCGGCGAATAAGAGAAGACGGAAACTCAAAGAGTCGATATTTGTGACAGCATTCACTTTTGGGATCGACGAAACAGGCCCACAAGGTCCCTCCCATGGCGAAGCAGATTTGCAGGAGTGCGGGGCGGGTGGTGTGCCACGACGGGCGTTTGCATCGCACGGGCCGGCGCCTCGAGATGCTGCACAAGAAGTTTATCTTGGCCACTGGGGCTGATCCATTATTTTGTATGTGTGTGTGCACGTGTGTTTCGGGATTGGTACCCTGGTAGGGTGGCGCACTTCTTGCACCTCACCGGGCAAGCATTTCCAGTCTTTTCCAGGAACAAGTCCAGTAAAGCATCACCTGAGTGTCTCACTCATTCTTATGGCAGTCCTCGATTAGTTTTCCATTCGCGTGATCGCTTGTGAACTGCCTGAAATGTTGTCTGGAGGTACATTGTAATATAAGAGGGTGTCCAAGAGTCGCACCCTAACCAGCCTGTACGCTTATCGGGGAGGGGCTACTGCACAATTCTTTGGAGGCCACCAGAATTTCGGGTCAGCGAAAAGCGAACACCAGGTCCCTCCAGGGCAAGTTGCGGGGGCCTCTTGAGCTGTCCGCTGCATTCCTTGCCTGAGGACAAGGTTTATGGCTCCACCGTGTCCGACGATGAGTTCTATGCTGATGCGGCCGCTCGGCGTGTGGCGGCGTGTGGGGGGCGTGGCAGGGGGGGGGGGGGGTTGGCTGAGCAGCTTTTCTGCACAGAGGTGCGCCCCCTCGTGGCCTGCCTGGACACTGCAGAGGCGCCAGCAGTAGAAACTACGATTGCCGAGGGATGTCTTCAGCTGTCTTGGAACGGGACGTCTTGCAATGTTGTCGGATGACGCTGTTTGCGACTCTGTGGTGTGGCCTGCGCGCCGCGTGAATGATGTGTTGCTTGCTTTGTCAGTATTTTTGTTTTTCGAATTCGCAAGACGTTGCTTGCGTGTTGTGTCGCGCGTGCTTGCATTGCTGCTTCCGTTGCTGAAGATTGGCCGAATTTTCTCACGTGCGGTTTGTGTCGTCCACGCAACGGCAAGCGAGTGGGGAGACCCCGGGGCGCGCGCACACACACACACACGCTCAAATGACGAACTGTTCCATGCAACGGTGCCGTCTGAGGTAGCGCCTCTGCCAATCTCGAGGAGCGCGTCGATGCAAAGCCAACACAGACACGCCAGCAGCCATTGCCCCAGCCTTTCGCAAAGGCATGCCTGGAAAACGATGAAACCGAGTTAGCAAAATTTCCTGCCGGGTTGCGCCTGCAGTGTGCACAGCACCCACGCACGCGCACACTCGCATCACTGGCGATCCGTCCGTTTGCGCATCAGCACAGAGGGCGGGCCCACGGGGCAGGACTGGTCACGAGCGAAAGAGGCCTCCCGGACATGGTTGACGTGTGCCTCCTCAGACTGGGTGGCTGCGACACTTGCCTTGCCCTGCGCCATCGGCAGCGGCGCATTTGACATGCTGACTTTAAACAACATGATGTTGTCAACATGGTTGTGCCTGCGACGTCAAGCTCAAAGCAATAAACGAGAAAAGAACATCTTTTTCTACCACTCTTTGCCTACAGCTTGCAAGTAGGTGCAACAGAAAGCAAGGGCCGCCACAGCAGACTTGCTTCTGGTTCTTTGTTTCCAAACAACTCGAGTAATTTGAGCTGCGCAGTCAAACATGGCCGTCAGAACCTTTGACCAAAGTTTGGAGTCCCAAGCCTTCAACGAAGCAAGCCACGCGGGAACACACTGCACACACTCGGGGCTGAAACCAGAAAGGGTGCCCAGCCAAAAAACTGCACAGTCAAGTTCTAGCTGAACGCTCAGCAAGCAGTGTTATGCATTTAAACGCGTCCTTCAAACATGCGCACCTCAAATTGATATTGCATGACGGCATCCTGCCTTCCAGCACATCGTCAGAGTGGCCTGCCCCTTCGCCTCGGTGGTCTCGGGCTGTGATTGGCCACCGCGGTTGCCCCCGCTGCATACTGGGCTTCGTCGTCTGCCACTGTGCTGAAACGAAAGCGTAAGGGGCGTCCGGGCACGAGGACGTTTTCGGGCCTTTGGGCTTACAAACCTCGACTCGACTTGACTTGGCTTTCCTGCAGAAGTTCTGGTCTAGCTTGCAAGTCCCGCTGCACAAAACCGCCCGCGAACAAGCACGTACTGCTCGGAAGACTTCACTTTTTCAAGTCCCGCCTGCACGCCGAACCACAAACAGTACGTCCCGCTGACCACGAACACAACCTCAAATTGCTGGTGCACCATGGCAAAGTGATCGCTCCACACGCCACGGAAACGATATTTCCCGAATGCTTTCCAGACTCTCCCAGCATCATTCAGTGATGAAGATGAGCGGCAACATCCTGGCAGCAACTTGATGTTCCTGCATGAGTGCGCAAGCGGCGTGACAACCTAAGGTTTCCCGCGCCCGTTTTGTGGCGACTGGAATGGGGAGTTGCGAACTCAATCTCCTGCACGCCCCCCGGCTTCGTGAGCTTATTCGCGCGAGAAATGGGAAACTCGCGTGGCGGCAAAGAATCAGAGTGATCGCGGTTCGGCTTCAGCGACCGCATGTCCGACATTACCGTGCTGTTCATAAATGCCGGGTGGGTATGTATGAAGCCGAGTGTGTGACGATCATGCTGCCTGCATCATGATGATTTTGCGCCTGTCATCGTTGTGCGTCTTGTGTGAGCACGCACAGCCTTTTTGGAGCAATTGTTCGTCATGGTGACAGACCTTGTTTTTGTGGACATGGTGCTCATGGCACCACTCGCATCTTGTTAGATGCGTCGTGCCTTCAATTTCGCCGCAGATTGCACTGCCTGGCAGTGTTTGTCAATGTGGGGAAGGTGCCTAAGAGGCGGACTTGTGCAAATTTGGGAACGAGAGAAGGGGCTGGTGCCTGGCAGGCCACTGTGATTTGCTATGGCCAGACGGGCACGGGCAAAACCCACACCTTCAACGCTTGCTGGAAGCGCATCGGCACAGATTTGGGAAGCCAGACTGTGTCGGTGACGTTTTTCGAGATCCACGGAAAGAAATGTGGCTTGATGTGATTAGCCTTACAACCGTGGCTCACAGTGCCCTTGTCCAATGGCAATGCCTGGTCATGGTTTTTCTTCTGGGAAAACGGGAACGAGAAAACAACAACCTTGGGATTTCTGTTTGGGCCACTGGGCCCAGCCACTGGGCTCAGCCACTGGGCTCAGCCACTGGGCTCAGCCACGCTTGGCAAGTTCATCAAACCTTGCAGATGACCAAGGAAAGCAAGCTTTTTCTTCAGAAGTCGCAATCAAATTTATTCCCGGGGGGGGGGCTGGGCACAAGGGCTTCAAGCGGTGTTGTTTTTATATATATATATATATATGTATGTGTGTGTGTGTGGGTTGGATTCGGGTCAGGCTACGACTTGCTGCAGCAGCGCAAGCAGGTGGCGCTCCGCGCGGATGCAGACGAGCGCGTGCATGTGAGGCGTGGGCCTCAGGTTTGTCTTTTCAGCCTGGGAAATCTTCGGGCCTTACAGGGTCGGTGGTTCGGAATCCTGACTGGCCGCTGGGTTTTTGTTTTTTCTCGACACTTTGTCAGGCTTTACCCTCAACCCTTTGGGTCTATTTGGCAGAAAAAGGTAGACAAGGTCATGAAAACCCAACGCAAGTGGCGTTTGCAAGCACAGCTCCGTGGCAAAGCTCCGCTCTGCTCCTTGGCCGAGGGGCGCGGCAACGCTGTCCGCGACGGCGGCGGAGGTGGCGCCGCTACTCGAGGAGGCGCTGCGATTGAGGCGCTCGGAGGCCACGGAGCGAAACCCCTTGTCCTCGCGGAGCCACGCGCCTTGGTGAGCCTTGGTGAGTCAGCCAGGCATGATCCAAAAGTAACGAGCTCACAAACAAGCCTTGAGTGTTTCTTACATATTGTAAGACGTTCGACGATCGACACTTGGAGGTTATCAGGGGTTGTCAGAGGGAGATCCCTGCAAATGAAATGGGTGTTTCCAAATTTTCAAGATTCAAGATGCTGGGTGTTTTGGAGGTTGATCCCTGTGGCTGTTGAGGCAGCTGGGTGTTTGCCGAAGTTTCCTCACAGCGGGGCTTGCTGGCTTGCGCCCTCACGAAGCCAAACGACCGCGGGCCCTCTTGCAAACTAGCAGTTGCTCCTCTGGCTACGGGCATCCAACAAGAAAGGGGCTAGTCCAAAAAGCAAGTCTGACGCCAAACAAGCGCCCCCCAACCGTGCTTCCGTCCCCTTGCCCAGGCGGTGTGCGTGCTGAGCCTGGCCTCCGGGGGCTGCATCCGCTTCGTGGACCTCGCGGGCTCGGAGCGGAACTACGAGACGCGGCGGATGACGGCGCAGCAGCACCGGGACTTCGCGGAGATCAACAAGTCTCTCATGGCCCTCAAGGTCCCGCTTGGTTAGCTGCATCATGAGAATACTTGCTAAAAGAAGGATCTGAAGCATGCATGCCTGTAGCACTGTAGCCCCGACTGGTTAGGGGCTCGCAGGACTGCTTCCGTGCCCACGCCCAGATCGCGCGGGAGAAGAAGAAAGCCTCCGGCGGAGTGCGGGTGCCCTACCGCGCCAGCAGCCTCACCCAGGCAGGCTTTTCATGTCGTGGAGCCTCGGCATGATTGACAATGGACAGCCTTGATCACACGAGCCGCCTCCCAGTGGAGTTTGCTGATGCTCTGCCAGGTCCTGCGCTCGTGCTTCACGCCGGATCACAGGACTGCCGTAGCTTGTGCGTGTCATTGCGCTGCTGCCATGGGCTGAGATCTCCTGGCTCATCAAGATGGGAAGGTGGTCGAAACTGCGTAAATGACAAAAGGAAACACAAGTGAACATCTGCAGCCAGCTGTGGGGGTCCTGACTATCCATCAGCCTGCGCAGTGCACAGGACGGTGATCCTTGCCACAGTGTCGCCTACAGCTACAGACCTTCTGCATTCCATCAATTCGCTCCTGCAAGTGACGCAGATGCGCGAAACTCAGCACGCCATGTGGACCAAGCATGGAAAGCAAAGGGCCGAACAGATTTTGAGCAGGTCGAAGGTCCGACTACTCAGTCGCACTCTGTGTATCGCCCGGACTGAATTTTCTGAGAGTACCTCCCCTGTGTGTGTCTGAGTGAGTACGGTGCGAAGGACAAGCATTTGAGCCTTGGACCCATTTCAATTTGTTTGGAACCAACATTCTGGGAAGAGGCTTCTTGAAAGGGTGGAAACCCAACCCATGATTTCAAGCAACCCCTTCCCTGAAAAGGGCCTCCCATTCCAATAGCGGCTAGTGTCGACGCTTCATTGGGGGCCTTTCTTCCAGGGATGCCGCCTGTGGCAAGCCAGGTGCTCGTGTGAAACCCTCAAAGCAAATCCCATGCCTCCCAAGGTCCAAGGACCTCTCAGCGCTTCGCGCGGAGTGCTGTGTGGATTTGCCCATGACCTCCTTCGCTGCGGCCACGCCCATCTGGGAGTGGGGCAGTGAGGAGGTGGACCGGTGCTTCGGCAGATGGGTCGGTCACCTGAGACGTGGCAAGCCGTTGGCGGGAGTTGGGACATTTCAACTCAGTGTATCCGTTTCAAGGGCCCATAGCACTGGTTGTTTAAGTGGGACTTGCTCTGCCCTGGTTTGGCAAATGCTCTCAGAAGCACTTAGGGTAGAAATGTGGTGTAATTGTCGTTGGGCACAGCTTTTGCTGGCTCCCTTGCACAATTGGTCATCAAATCGCCATATGTCTTAGAGGCCTTGATGACCATTGGGGGTAAGCTGGCCCTGTGCCAACGGACGGGGGCCAAATGACAACTAGACAGATTCCCCAAAGTAGAAGGCAATTTCTGCCACGCCAGGGGCATGTGGTGATTTGGCGGGAAAAAGGTGGGAAAACGGTGAGAAGACGATTTTGCCTCAGCACAGAATTTTTCAAGTTTCGAGGGCGGACTTCTACTTTTCCGCCCATGTCTCCCTGCAAGTTGACATGGGAGCCGACAAGGGGTCCCCCAAAAGAGGATCACTCTCGGCCAACGAGGGCTTTGTTGGGTTCCATGCTGCTTTGGAAAGAAGCAGGCAAGGTCTGCGCAAGTTTCATTGGAAAAAGAACCGGGGAGGAAGTTTATAGAGTTAACTTCAGGAGAGCAGCGCCCAAAGACCCCATTGATTCTACCTAGCACTGTGGTAGCAAAGCCCATACCAACCTTTGACAAAGCCAACAGCCAGCTCAGGTGGATCCGCACGGTGCACAACGGGCTCTTCAAGTACTTGGTGCTGCCCCCGAAGATCACAGGGGCGGCTTTGCTCCAGCTGAGCTCGCAGGCCTGCCAGAGCCCAGGATTTTCGTTGGGGGGGGGGACCAAGTTGGTCACCCTGGATAATTGGGTCAAACTTAACTAGAACAACTCTTAGGGAATACCACGCTACAGGCGGGACAAAGTTGCGAGAATGAACAGCCAGCCGTTTGAGCCATTCAGAACATTGCTCCCCTTAGCGGAGGAACCAGTGTCATATGTGGAGAGTTGTCCAAACTACAGGGCAGTTTTCTTTGGGGTCTGTTTGCGAAACCTTCCCCGGGTTCCGATGTTTAAGCGTCGTCCCCGCCAACCACTTTCGGCCACTCAATCTTGAGAAGCAACGTTGCTTGCATATGCAAAAGGACGCTACTCGTTGGTGTGTGCAACTGTAGTTCAGAGGTGAGTTTTCTTTTTTTTGTTTTTTGGCTTTGCAACGTATTGAAGCATCGCATGTTGGATGCGTGCAGGCCAAACACAAGGAGCTCACGGCTCGTTCACCCCCTTAGGGCTTCGCAGAGCTCTTCGATCAGAGCTTGCGCACTGCCCGCGGCGTGGGCGAGGGCGAGGCTGGAGTGAGTGCCCGGGCGGGGGGGGGGGGAGATGGTGCACGACCCAAACAAATAGACCCGCCAGGGGAGGAAAAAAACAAGATATTTTCAAGAGGAACTTGGTTCTGGGATCGGGCCCGGTGAGTTTTCTGTTTGGTCAAGTTTGTTCTGGGCAGTTTCCCCTCCAGCAGTTCTTTGCATGTTTGATGTGGTCTCTTTTCCAATGTTCTCTTTATGGCCAGCGGCCAATAAAGTTGTGCACCCTTTCAGGCTATGGAGAGGAGTGCCTTGTGTGCTTCAAGCTTTTTGCCATAAGATATGGGCGCTTCCTCAACTAGAGAGTCCTCATTTCGGTAGGTTTGAAGAAGCTAGTTGAAAACCGAAGATTGTCTGCGTCCGCACACATTCGCTGGCTGTTCAGCCACTGCTCCCGCTTGCCCACAGTTGCGGGGAAAGCCAAGTTTTAGGCCAAGTATTGTCGGGGCCAATTCAAGTGATGAAGTCGCCAAAAAAAAAGTGGACTTTCTTTATGGTTTCATAGGAAGTCAACGTTATTTGTCCTTACGGGGCATTTTGGTCCCCTTTTCGCCTTGCTGTTTGGACGAAAGCTGGGCGTGCAGGCCTGGAACGAAGCGGCGGCGCAGGGCGCTGGTCTGCGGGTGGGGCGCCTGCTCTACGGTGCCGTGCGCCGTGAGGTGGGGAGTTGGGGGGTGCGCTGCGTTGTGATTCAGTGAGCTCGAATCGGTTTAGACTCTAGACAGCATGTCGGGCATGTCTTCTTTGGTACCTAATTTTTTTAAGCGTGTGTCAACACGGAAACCAGAGGCACGCCACCCACTTGCCATACCTGTTGTGAGACAAAATCCAAAATCAGACCGAGCGCAAGTCGACCAGGCGGAAGCACTGAGGAAACCATCAACATGCCGCCATTTGGACGCTCTAGGTGGCTCAGCTATGAGGGGCTCATAGGTGATTGTTCATTTTGATTTCAGTTACACCTGGGAAGAAGCTGTGTCGTTCAGACATCAGCTCTGCTTAGTTTCCCTTTCCGCATCCTCACCTAGGCTTCGGTTGCAACACATGGCAACTGGCTCTGCAAAGCAGAAATTTAGAGAAGCGTCATTAATGTTGGCTACATGCCTGACCTTATCGTTTCCGTGTGATTGGGAATTGATTGTTTCGTCTCCATTGAATGTTGATTGTGGCAACAGCCCTTAGCATTGCTCGCCGCCCTAAATTACTTGTCGCCAATTTGTGTGTGATAACGATGAGAGCAACAAGTCTCAGCTCCATTTGTTTGCCTCTTCGAGGGGGTTGTTCCATTTGTCTCGCGTGTGTCTCCCGTTCAACCGGGTCCCGCAGCCTCCAGCCTGCAGGGCAATAACAGTTAAAGCAACTGGACGCTAGTTTCGCACGGTGAACGGCCACGTGCCAACAACAGATTCAAGGTCAATTTGCCGCGCCCCTCCTTCCTCCCTCTCTCCCGTCAAAGGGATCCGTTTCCCCCTTCCTGGGTTGGCCATAGACAGGTCCCCCCTTTCTTTGGGGCGTTGGTGTTTTTTTAGGTGTCCACGGCAAACCCGTGTTTCTCGCTTTGTCGCTTCTTGGCCGTAAAAAGCATGCAGGTAAGCGCCCAGGGCCCGCTCCCCTCATCCCTCCAGGCCATGCGCTGGCCGGAGGCTCAGGCCGCCCCGGTCCTGGCGGCGGCGGAGCAGCGCGAGGCGGCGGAGCGGCTGCGACAGGAGGAGGGCCTGGACCTTCCGCCCGCCGCGGAGCCTCGGAGTTGCGGGCTTTGACATATGTCAGACATGGCATGTCTCCTCCAAGGGGGTGGGTTCCTTAGGGTTCGCTAAAGTGCCTCAGGTTTGACATGGTTCAATGGGTCTGTTGTTTGAGAAAGCCGTATTGATAAAGGCTTGGTTTACAGGGAAACCCCAGGAACAGGAGACATTTAAGGTACCCCTATTTATAAACAGACCCTCCCCCCCCCCCAGTGGCCCTCAACTTATGGTTTTCCTTTGGCGTCGCCAAGGAATTTTAAGAGTTCGAACCAGCTCCAAAGTAGCAGGTATGATTCCTGACCAATTCTGACGTCCACAGGGGGTCCCCCATGAAAATATGTGCCCGTTATTTGTTCAGCCAGAATCTCAATAGACAAATGGTGTAGTTGCGGGCAAGAGTTGAAGGAATGTTGGCGCGGCTTCTGGAAAACGATTCCGAAGAGTGGTCGCCCATGCCCTAACAACAAGGAGGTTGAGGTTCTCCTGCTTTCCAAGATGGGACAAGCAGCTGGAGGTTCTCACGGATGGTTTTTTTTTGGTTGAAGTCGTTTTTAGCTTGGTTCTGGTTTGATTCTAGTCACCAACCAATCGGCTTGGAGGGATGTGCCGAAGGCAAACTCGCGCCGACTGTTAAGCCCTCCTCCAAAATGAACCCAGACACCTGCAAGTGACTCCTGAGGAGCGCCAGTGCGAGTTCTTCTTCTGGGGGGACACGGGGCAGTGAATTCATGCAAGCCGTAGGGCGAGATTTCAGAGGCGTCTTGGCTTTTGGTGCCTCTGGCTTGGGATCGATGGGTCCGCATGTGCATTGTTTTTCAGAAGGAAACTGCTTCAGGCAATCCGTAAACTTTGGGGGTCGCAAACCAAAAGGCAGGACACACTCAAATCCCCGGTCTCAAGCCAGGGACCAGGCCCCAGAGGCCGATGACTTGATGCGGGCGCGAACCAGCGCGGACTTTGTACAAAGGCTCCCTAGAGTGTTCTGACACGCGGCAGGCATGTTGGAGGCCAGCGCGCCAACTCAAGAGGTCCAGCTCCGCAACGAAAAGTGGCAGTTGCGGACATATGCGTGTGGAAAGTGCGTAGCCGATTTGTGGGAATCAACCATGTTGGTACGACAGACAGGGGCTACACATTTCCACGGCCACGCGCAAACGCGCCTAGACGCCCACGCCGGCCTTGGGGCATTGGGCTCAAGGCCGTGAGGTGCTGATTCAAGCACGATGACGCCAGGCCCCAAAGGAATCTGTGGCAAAAGTCCAGAAGGGATTGTGGCGGGAATCGAACACTTGCACTGACCGGCAATCTTGAGCCATTTTTGTGGGATGGAGGCACAGTCTAGGGGACGGATTTTGGGCAGGATAGTCTTTGCAAAACGCACGGCTGCAGAGCTCAAGAACGTTGGCCCCATCGCGCGAAGTTCAGCGGGCCTGGTGTCCAAATGCTGTAAATGTCTCAGACTGCTGTGCGGGTAGCAGCTTTGCTCTTCAGCCTCCTTCTGGCTGGGCAGGCAGGGTGGGGGGAGGGGATATTTGCAGCTCGAAGGTCCGGTCAAAAGTCAAAAGCGGCAGACTCCGGGATTGGATTGGATTCTGCCACACCTCGACTGTTAGACCGCAAGGTCTGATTCTGCAAAACGCTCGCTTGGAAAGGGAGCGGTTCACACGCAGCTGGTTTGGAGATGCTGCAGGGCTCCCATTTCCCCCTTGGTTTTTCGAAGTGGGCTATGTCAGAGTCAGAGAAGGGGAAGGGTTGGAGTACGTGGCACTAGCATGGGTTCTTACGCTTCCAGGGCTTCTTCGCCCGACCACTATGGCTGAGCTGGGTCGTTTTCCTGGCCGCCTACGTGCTTGGCGACTTGGCTGGAGCTCTAGCCGTGTTTGTGCAGTTGTCCGGTTTGCTTGCCAGTAGGCTTCTCTTTGCACGGTGAAGGACAAATCACAACTTCTTCAATTAATGTACCTGGTTCTGTTCCTGCAGCTTCTTGAGTGCGGGCATTTCTTTTGCAATCTTGCAAGTTTGGCTTCCTCAACGACTGATCACAAGAATTCTTTGAAGGCTCCAACCTCCATGCCAGGTTCGCGAACTACTATAATTCACTCAGATGAGTTGTGGAAGTCTCTTGCCCCTAATTCATGGCGGATCAGCTGAAAGGAGCCCCATCCGCCTCTCTGAGTTGTGGGTGCCGTGGCGGCGGCGTGCGCCTGGCGCGCACAACTGCGCCGGGCCGCTTCCTTCAGCGTGGCGTCGGTGGTCTCTGCCCGGTTGCCCAGATGGCGGGGGAATTGTGGGCCGGTCCCCGCTTTTCGGACGGATTTCAGTCGCGCTACCTACTCAGTACATGACATGAAGGCTGGATCAGTCCTCGTGTCCGTGAGTTCGAGGTGCCGCAGGCCGAGCTGGCCATCGACTGTGGTGCCAGCTTTGTGCTGGTCTGCGGGGGCGAGCCGTGCCGGGATCTCTTGGGCGCACGCCTAGGCGCGCGCCTTGCCAGGCGCGGGGGGCGGTGGGCCACTGTTCATGATGTTGTGTCTTTTTTGGGGCCCCCCTGTGTTGCCTCAGGTGCCCGTTAACCCGAAGGCTGGGAGGGTAGCGTCTTGTTTCTTTTGCTTGGAGCGGCGCTGGTGCTGCCTTGATTTGTTTGTTGTTTGGGGGGTTCTTTTAGGATTTGCAGGAATGCAGTTAGTTCCACACATCCCCCCCGTGCTGCCTTTTCTTTTGCCCCCCAGGTGCGGGGGGCGGGTGGCCTTCTTCTCCAGCGGCCACTTCAAGCGTGCCGCGGATTTCCTCCCGAGCCCGAACCCCCACGCGCCGCGCTTCGGCGACGCCGGAGTGTCTGAGGCCGACTTGGTGGTGCTGCAGAAAGTCATGGTGCTGGATCGCGCCGCTCGGCTGTAGGTGTGGAGTGGGGGGACTTAAAATCAAAACCAGAGGGAAAACTTAAGCCGCATGATGGGGGGCTCGCCCGGTGTGGAGACTTGCCCGTTGCCTGGGAATCGATGGCTTGGGACGTTCATTTGGGAATCCATCAAGAGCCCATAGCTCATCGTGAGCCAATTTTCTCGAATGTTTGCGATCTTTCACAGGGAACACTTGGGCAGGAGGCCCTTGACACCTTGAGCAACTTCACGACCTTCCTGCGTGCGACGCGACCATCTCTGTTGGGTGGCTTGTCCATCCAAGAATGTGAGGTTCCGAAGATTCTTTTTATTAAATATGGAAGCTGACGTGTGGGAAGACGCACTTTCCTTCGGGCAAGACATCCTTGTTCGCTTCTATGATTGTTGGAAAGAAGGCAACGCTTTTGCTGTTTTCGGTCTTGGTTTGCTTGGTTTTCATCGCGACCTACCCGAGTTTTTTGTTGTGTTTTTTTTTTTCCGCGTCGGCGAGGACGGCCCAGCTGCGCACCCCCGGTGGACGTGGTGGTGGTGACCAGCGAGTACCATGTGCCGCGAGTGCGCGCCCTCGCCTGGCCAATGCTCGGGGCACAGGGCCTGTCCTTCCTCATCTGCCCGCGCCTCGGATTTTGAGAGATGCGGGGCACCTCAGCTGCCGTCATTTTGTTTCTAGAAAAAAACACATCTTAAACCACACAGTTCTTCGTTCCAGCTAGCGTATTTGGGGGACGCAACTCGCTTCAGCGGGGCTTCAACGCCTGGTTCTTGTCGTAAAACGGGAAACCACCCCACAAACCATATCCAAGGTATAAAGATGAACTGTTGCAAGTCCAATTGGAGGGCAGCTGAATTTTGGAAGTTTGGAAGTTTGCTGACGCACCCGAGGTGCCCGGGCGACAACGAGAGCGAGGCGCGGTGGCGCCTGTGGCGTGACACGCTGCGCGCCGGGCTGTGGCTGGCGCTGGGCTTCGAGGGCGGCGCCCTGGCGGCGCTGCGGCACCGCGACCGGCGCCTGGAGCGAGAGGCGAGCCGCGAGCCGGCCGCTGATGTTTGACAGGGACACGGCGGACGCCTCAAGGGGGAACCTCTCAGTCCTGTGCCGACAAGTACTTGATTGTTTGTCCCTCACAAAGGAGGTTTCCTGGCTTCCGGCTGGGCTGCAAGTTCGGCTCTTGCCAGCGAGGCTTTGCGGTGCCAGAAGGACAAGGATGCCAAGGCGGCATAGGCAGGGGATTGGGGGCGTGGTTGAGAGATTCAGTTTGGGGGGGGGGGCAAGGTCGGGGGTGGGATTGAGGGGTCCGGGTCCGGGTTTGGGTTGCGGCTGTGGTCGGATCTTGTTTTGTCTCTGCAGCGCCCCAAATTTATGAACTTCTAGTTGACTTTCAAGAACTGACGCTTGAAGGTTGCGACTTTGACACCTTTTTGCCACATGACGTTTCCTGCATGCACACAATCGGAACTCAGGAGCAATAATCCCCGATTGATAATACACCAGGTTGGTGAATGCGGGGAGAACCCTCTTGGTGGCGCACACTGCCTTAATAGGAACCCCCGTATGCAAGGGGTACAACCTTAAAGCTTATGCCCCCCCCCTGGAGGACTCTACAGTGGTGGCAGCCTTGAGCAAGAAGCCTCATGGCGCGTGCGCCGCGAGTGCGAACAGACGCCAAGATCGCTTGAAGAAAAGTGGGTGAGGTGGGGCAGTCCAACGATGGCCAACCGGGCAGTACTTGGAGCGTATGTCCTCCTTTTGAGGTGAGGTTTGCAGGACTTCAAGCAAGGGAGGGTTCCGGGAAATGAACTCTGGCGTGCAAAGATCAGACTTGCTTTTGACCACTCAAGAAGGGCATTGGAACCCCTGGCCTTCAGAAAAGTTCTGCCCTTCCTGAGGCGTACCCAGCTGCTCAGACCGAGCTGAGCCAGCCAAGCCCGGAGGCCGCCGAGTTTTCCGATGCCTAAAAACCCAGAACCCACCCAGCCCTGACATGTTCGCTACACAACCACAACAAGAACTAACCTACCCCCCCAAGTGTGAGGCCCCGTGAGGGCCTTGGCCCCATTTGGCCTGATGTCACCTCAGCTTTGCGGATCCCAGGAACCCAAAGAATCCGGAATCTTGATTTCGGGGACCCCCCTGCTTTCACGTGATCGGAGCATGGGGGTATTGGTTTCAGCTGTTTCTCGAGTTCGTTCAGCATGCGTTTTTCCTAGAATTCCACGTGAGGGAACTCTCTGCCATACTTTGTTCCTAGGTTGGCGCTCCCTTGGAGCCTGACCTGCTGGATGCGGGGGAGTTGTCGGATGAACTGCCCGACTTGCGTTTGGCGGCTCAGTCGGTTAGCGGCAACAATTCCAGGCTGGCCAAGGTGCTACTTCAGCTGACGAGCCTGTGCCGAATTCGATGGCTCATCCAAGGGCATTTGTAGCAGGGTTGTGTGGAGGCGTGGATGTTAGACACAGTTGATACAAGGGGATTGGGGCAACATGTGCCTCTGATGGCGCTGAGATCCCAAAACCAAAGGCCGGCTCGGCTTTCGGCCCAGGGCCCGCAGAAGTCGCTGTCGGTGCCGGGCAGGAGCCCAGTTTCAGCTCCGGGCAGGCCCGGTTCGGACCATCTTGGGCTGGACGATTTCCCATGCTCGCTTCACACGGGCTTTGCAAATCAGCCATGGGGTTCTACGCCCTCTCTGAAACCTTCCTGTTGACGTTTCCTGAAAAATGGCTTGACGTGATTCCTAGGGCTGCGGGCGATTTCTGCGTGTCAGGGCTGCCTTGCAGCTCTCATCCTCTGCCCCTCTGCCAGGGGCGGCGCTCGGAGGCCGAGCTGGCCGCGCACTCGGTTTGGTATGCGACCCCTAAACCAGGAAGATTCCCACCAGGCCAGGGTTGGTGTCCCTTCGGCCGCTCGAACACCAGGGGTTTTCAGGCATCCCGTCAGTTGGAAGATGGGAGCTCGGAGTGCGGTGCCTAGATCTTTGGGGCAATCTCTGGTTTTTTTGCTGCTTTCCATTTGAAGTCCTTTGTGGCGGCTCGTTAAAAGCTTGGCGGAATTGCCCAGCGCGCCAGCAAAAGCCAACGCGCAGCAGTTCGGGCGCAAAGCAAAAGCCCGGTGCGCCTGCAAGGTGCAGGATGCCGAGCAGGACAAGGCACGAGGGGTTCTCCCCGCGCCGCGGGGCTCCGGTGGGCGAAGTTGTTTCTTTTCTCCAAGTCGAATGACTACAAGCAAATGGGTATGTGCCAAGGCAAAAGGGATCCCCCAAAGTTGAGCCGTACAACTCAACTGAGGCCGAGGGCGTGGGGCTGTTCCAGTCCGGCCAGTACTTCAAGTCCTACCAGGCACCGGGATTCTTTGGTTTTGGGGGTTCGGCCAAACCAACAGTTACAACAGTTGTCGCTTTGGTTTCTTTCAGTTTGGCACTTGTGCTCTGAGTTTTT